TACCTTGAAAGAATTTAAAATTTTACGAGCGCGCAATGGTGATTTCCATTAAATGAATTTAGCACTGTGAACCTTTTGTTTTGTACATGTCCAAACATGTCGCAACCGCAGGGTCGTGGGTTCGAATCTCGCTTAAAATTCTTCAAATTTTCCTTTAATGCAAATGTGTTACTTTATAGAGTAAAACCATTTTAGACATGCGCCGACCTTTAATTCGCATTACATGTCCTGTTTTTTTCCATCACTTTCACTCCACACGTGACGTGTCGTTTCACGTGAGCGTTGTGGGTTGTTTGAAATTTCCGCGCAAGGTCTAGTGGCTGTGACGTCATGATCCTATCGACCAGTCAGGATTTTTGCGGCACGCCACCGACGCCAGCTTTTCTCGTAACTCAACCTACGCCGCAATTTCTGCGAAACCAGCTCCGTATCGCCATCGCGTTAAAATCGTATTTATTGCGCACGCATGTTCTTTTTAGGGCAAGAGAACACGCGTGGCCAATAAAACGGTCCCCGCCGGTCGATCTGGCAGCGCACTGCGATGGGTGCCCACGCGACTCGGAATTTAAAAAGAACAATTCTCGGGAGTTACGCGGGTATAAAACACTCCCGAGGAATTAACCGAGGCATTTCGCATCAGACAGCTAGCGACAGGGGACTGCACTAAAGCCCCTGTATACGAAAAAGTAGCGACATCCTTTGAAGAATGCCGCCTGCTATCTTGGAGCAATCCAGGCGGCGCTACCGTCGACGCGCGAGCGCGAAAGAGCAAAAGATAACAATAAAAGTGTGCGTGAGGGACGAGAAGGGAGAAGGAATGCCTATTCTGTCGGAGTGTAGTGCATGTTAGGAGCTCATGCCGCCAATCAAATAACGCCGACTGTCTAACGTCACGGCTTTCATTGCCTTTCTTTGAGCACATTCTTCGCGGCTGGCAGACCGTGACAGTGCGCTTTTAGCCTGTGTCCATGTATATCCGTGTCTTCAGGCCTTTGACTGCGCTCTGACTCAAGCATAGGAAGGCCGTCTGCTATCTTGGAGCGTTCCAGGCGGCGCTACAGTCGACGCACGGGTGCGAAAAAGCGAAACATAAAGATAAAAGGTGTGCGCGTCAAAGGAGGAGGGAGAAGATGTCGCTACCTTTCTTATTCAGGGGCATTAGACTGCACGTGTACAGCGCGCCCCCACCATACACCTGACAGATAAGGAGATTTCCTTTTTAAGCGAACAGCCAGATAGGCGCTACTATAATCGCATGTTATTTCCAATAAACCTTCAGTCACGAGTTCGCTTCGTCTCCGTCTTCTTGGAGCCTGTTTAATCGGCGCTTCTTCTGCCAAGCGATTCACCAGCGATTAGTCCATCTTTCCATGTCGATTCACTACGCAATAATGTCAAGGAAGCCTGACTCACGCAAGTTGGTCCCTCCTTTTTTTTATTTTTTATTATGGGTGCCTCGACTATCTCTCGAGCTTGTTTGTCTGCGTTTAAACAACAGGACAACCTTATCTGTACTCCACTTTACGTTAAATCCTCTTGTCATCTTTGGGAGTTTTCACCACCACCGGTTCAACCGACCACGTACAGCAAGTAAACCGTGACCCTAGCGCTGTGTTTTTTCTCCTCTTTTTTTAGTTTTCTTTTTAGTTTAGATGGTGATAGAAAGCAGACGTACAATTAAAAACGACGAGCGCCATGGTGGTGCCCTTCTGAAGCTGCATGGTTGTCTGCATCGAATCGTAGCATTGTTTGCGGTCGGAAGTACAATGAAGCGGAGGCTTAGAGACGCGGGCTTGGCAATGAAATGCCAAGTCAAAGTTTGCGATTTGCTGCGTTCGTTTCGTCCAATTTTCCCCTTTGTCCGTGCCCAGTTGCCCCGTTTCTATACGAATAGGTACCAACTCAACCATTTATCCATTTCGCAAAGGGACCATGAAAGGACTTTTTTTCAACTCCTTTTTTTTTTAATCAACTGAAAAGCCAAAAGATAAATTGCGTGTGGTTGTGACGGACTATTTCATCGTATACGCGCTGATTCCAAGCTTTCACTGTGCTTCTTAAGTACATGGCGAAACTTGCATTCGCAATTGATAAGTGACGTCACGGCACTTATTGGCCACGAACGCGAATCCGAATATTCGTCGACGGATTGATTGCTGACGAGCGCATACGCCCGAGTGACGTGGTGTTCGTGTCCAATGCGTGAGCTGGGATCGGCTGACGTGCTCGGGCACCGCGGATGCATCGCAGTGAAAAGGCTTACGATGCGAAAAAGGTAAGAAATAGTCCGCTATGTTTTCGAATGATTCGTACCGGAAAGCAGGCTTTTGGCTTTCTACCCTCGCGTACTAGTTCTGTGTTATCCCACTAAACGACATGCGATGAGTAAGATTCCAATCTGATATAATTTATCCCAGCCCGAAAATTGATTATATTGTTCCTTTAATCAGTCAAAGATTTCATCTATAGTGGCGACAGGTTACGAGTGAAGTCCATGCTCCTCCCATCTCTTTCCAATTTAGTCTTAAAAGGGTCTCCTCAAGAGGATTCTGAAATCACCAAAATATGGTGATAACTCACTCTGCTGGCTCTAAGCATCCTAGAAATCTCTAAAATCACGACGTTACGCGGCCGATTTTTCTATTTAAAAAGCAATCAAGGATCGCAACACAGCGAGGTCATCGCCGGTGATGGGAGGAGCGTGCTCCCAGACAAGGACCACTGTCAGCCAATAGCGAGCGAAGGATCCTCTTGCCTCCGACCGGTGGAACCGCGGAGTGATATCTCGAGTGCGCGCGGCTCATTGCCCCCAGGGGTATTCACACGAGGGAGAAATCCCGGAGATTTCTCCCCGGCACGCGTGCATCACGAGATAAAAACGCGAGGCTTTTGCACATCGCAAAGCCTGACGTTTTCGTCGTGGGATGCGCGTGTGAATACCCCTTTACAGCCGTGGTCTACGGTTCAACCCAGCGAGCGAGCGCTTGAAGGCCCGTTCACACTCTAGAGACCAGACCGGGTTTTAAGCCTTTTGCGTCTTCCTAGGACCAGCTCTGCTGCATCGGAGCTGGCCCTAAGACGTCGCAAGAGGCTTAAAATCCGGTCTGGTCTCTCTCGGTCGTACTCGGTCGCACATATGTGAACTGTGCTTGAGAGCTGACGACCAAACACAACACTCCCGCAAAAAACAAAACAAAAACAAACTGTACTGTTTTTGAGACGATTATTGCAGTATTATGTTCCCTCTCTGCGAAAAATTAACGTTTTTAGACTACACTCGCTTTGATCATCTACAAAAGCATACACATCTTGTAATAGCGTTTCTGATCTCAACGAAATGTAGCGTTTTCATTGGTAACATGTCGTCTTACCTGCATGAACAATGCTCCTCTGTCACGGAGTGGGTGGTTAAATTAATAAAAATAAAGCAATGATCCACTCTGAGGATAAACGAGAAATTACGGAAAAAGAACAAAAGAGCTAAGTTCGACCGGTGACTAGCGCTAGGTCCACGCCAGGTGTAAAATCAGGAAAGAGAGACGATGACACAGGGAGGATAAGCAAACAAAAGATTAAAAATTTAATAAAGTGAAATACTACGCCGCGGACGGCAAAAGAGCACTCTACACAAACCTCGCTCCAGTTAAACGCAATGGGGTCCCGCGGGCCAGAAACTAATACTAAAAAAGTCACGACACTCGTAAAACAGGATCGAGCCGACAAAACCGCGACGAAATCCCAACACTAACCAAAAACAAGGGCAAACCGAGACGGAACTCGAACGTTACCGCTACCCAAAAGGGACAATCCCCCAAAACAGTCGCGACAGAAAGTAGCGCTACGTATAAAAATGTCCCAAAGTTCAACAGTTCGTACTTCAGAGCCGGAGGATGAAGTAGACGAAACAAACAAAAAACAGCTTAGCTTTCCGGTAGGTGCTGAGTCCAGAGCAGTCCGTTGTCTGGAGATGTCGGCCGAAGAACGATGTCTCGGAGTCAGGCGGTCCGGTTAGAAGCTTGATGAGGTCGACACCGCGCACCACACAGCCACGCACGCTTCAGCACAACCAACTCAAACACTTGCCCGACAGGCAGGGCAGAAGCCGAAAAATTAAACGTTCAAAAACTCACGAGCAGGGAGTGACTGCGTCGAGCAGCACCCCGGCCAGCTCCGGGGCTCCACTACCTCCTTTGTTCCAGAACCCCTTTTTATAGGTTCGACTACCGACCAACCTCCCGTTTTCCCGCCTTTCGGGTCAGTCCACTTCCCAGAAAAGCAAAGGTATCCGGCGCCGACCCAAATGGGAAAACATACAGGCCATCCATTTCCCCCGTACGAGTCCAAAACATCAATTATCGCAGATACGTAGAACCCGACAACAACGACAGGCGCCAGACTGAAGAAAGTCGCCGCCTTCAAAAGGCGCGCCAGCCAGCTTAGACATCTTTGTATCCCGGCGTCGCCTTCGCGTGTCAAATCGGCACCAGAGTCCGCAAACGCACCCCTCCGTCCGCGAGGCCCAAGCCACAAATTAACTTTGCCCCGGGGTGAAGCCTAATCTGAGTCGCCCGTCCACAAATACCTACCCCGAAAACGAGCAAACCCGTTGGGGACGTAGAAAGGATAATACGACGGGACGAACTGGAGATTAAAAGCGGCACGGCACTCCCCGTTCCCGGACCGTACCGACACTTAAAGTGGTCCGAGAAAAAAAAAAAAAAAAGATAATAAAAATGAAAAACAAAATCAAGAAAAGCCTGAATTTGTGACACTACTCCCCACTTCAAGAACTTTTCACGCGTGAAAATTCAAAACACAGCACAAATTCAGACACCATGAAGCCAAACAGCTGCCTCAAAACGCAAAGGGAGAAACAAACACACACGTCTTCAGGCGGCAAAGAACATACAAACAAACGAACCAGAGAGAGCGCTTCGACGCCCCTGTAAGCAGGACTCTACAATGAGAAAATAATAATAAAAGAAATAAGAAGCAACATCTTAAAGCCGACTTAAATAATCAGCCCCAACGTTTTCCTTGCCCTTTATGTACTGAACCCTGAAATCAAACTCTTGGAGCTTCAGGCTCCAGCGCATGACCCTTGCGTTTGCGTGTCTCGTTTGATTTATATATTGCAGGGGTTGGTGGTCAGTTTGGAGCAGAAATGCTCTTCCGTAGAGATACGGCTTGAACTTCTCAATCCCCCAAACCAACGCCAAGCCCTCCCGCTCGACAGTTGCGTAAGCCTCCTCTCGAGGCAGGAGCCGCCGACTGGCATAGGCTACTGGGTGAAGGACGTCTCCGTGTTTTTGAAGGAGGATAGCCCCGATACTGTGATCGGAGGCGTCCGTTCGGAGCACGAACATCTTTTGAAAATCGGGGAGTCTCCGAATGGGGGCCTCGGTGAGGTCCTTCTTGAGCTTCTGGAAAGCTGCCTCGTGTGGGGTGCCCCACATCACGTGGTTCTTCTCGCCCTTCTTGGTGAGATCGGTGAGCGGAGCAGCGATCTCGGCATAAGCCGGAATGAACTCTCTATAGTAACCTGTGAGCCCGAGGAATGCCCGCACTTGTCGTTTGGTCTCAGGTCGCTTCGCGGCCTGAATCTTCTCCACGTTTGTTGGCAACGGAGCAACACCTCCCGAACCCACCAGGTGTCCCAAGAACGAAACCTCTTCCAGTCCGATTTCGCATTTTGTAGGCCGGACGGTGAGTCCCGCCTGACAGATCCTCTCCATCACTATCCGGAGGGTGTTGAGATGCTCAGCCCAAGTATTGCTTCCGATGAGCACGTCGTCGTAGTAAAACGACACTCCCGGCACATCCCCCAACAGGAGTCGCATCAGCCGGGTAAACACCGCCGGGGCTGTTTTGAGGCCGAACGGCATATACCGAAACTGGTACAGCCCGCTCGGCGTGGAAAACGCAGTTTTAGCCCTGGACTCCTCTGCCAACGGAATCTGCCAGTAGCCCTTCGTTAGATCGAGCTTCGAGAAAAACTTCTTAGTTCCAAATTCGGCGAACAGTAAGTCGGCGCGAGGCATGGGCTCGGAGTCCACTAGAAGTACATCGTTCAGCCGACGGAAGTCAATGCATAATCGATGCGTCCCGTCGGTCTTTTTCACAACCAGAACAGGTGAATTGTACGGAGAGTTTGTACGTTCAATGATCCCCATCTTCAACATGTCCTGAACTTCCTGTTCGATTACGCCTCGCACCGCAAATGGCAGCGGGTACTGTTTCGTTCGCACTGGTAGGTCAGTAGAGGTCCTCAGTTCACATCCGAGGAGATCGGTCTTTCCCGGAAGGTCCGAGAAGATGTTGTGGTATCTCTCCACTACCGCCTCGGCGTCTGTCCTCTGTTGAGCGCTAAGGCCCGCCCCAAACGCAACGTCTTTCGAGCTTTCGCTTGCTTCCATTCGCAGCAAAGGGAAATCCGGTTCCCGTTCCTCTTCTTCGAAAGTTACCACGTTGCAGGCCTTGGCCGCCCCCTCCGTCTGTCGTTCTTCGTACTTTTTCAACAGGTTGCCGTGAAACAACTTTGTCGAGTGCCCTAGGTCTACCTCATAGTCCAGTTCGCCTCGTTTTGCGGTGATCGAATAGGGCCCCTTCCATTGCATAAGCAACTTGTTTTGGTCCGTGGGAAGCAAGATAAGTACGCGGTCTCCGACTACTAGAACTCGGCTGCGGGCCTTCCGATTGAAGCCCCGACGGTAGCGTTCGCTGGCGTGTGTCAACTCTTCGTGCGCGATCTTGCAGGTTTCTTCCAGCTTGTTGCGGAGCTCGAAAACGTACTCGTAAGTCGTCTTGGTTTCTCCGTCGAGCGACTCGTTGGTCCAGAGCTCTTTTAACACGGAAAGTGGTCCCCGCACATTTCGTCCGTAAAGAAGTTCGAACGGAGAGAAGCCCAGGCTTGCCTGAGGCACCTCTCGGTAGGCGAACAGCAACGGCGCGAGGTACCGATCCCAGTCTGCTGGTTTTTCTTGGCACATACGCTTCAACATGGTTTTCAGCGTTCCGTTAAACTTCTCGACGAGGCCATTTCCCATTGGGTGGTAGGGGGTGGTGAATAACTGCCTCATGGACAGCAACCGGGCCACCTCGCTCATGACGTCCGAAGTGAAATTGGAGCCGCGATCGCTCAGTACTTCCCTGGGAACTCCCGTTCTGGTGAACATCTCCACGAGTCCCTCCGCCACCCGTTCAGTCGAAATCTCGGGTAAAGCCACGGCGTCCGGGTACCGCGTAGCGTAATCAACCATCGTAAGAATGTATTTGTTCCCCTTCTTGGTGGTCGGCGCGAGCGGCCCCACGATGTCAACGGCTACGCGTTGAAACGGCGTCCCGATGAGTGGCATACTTCCCAGCGGCATCTTCGCGACTTTCCCTCTTGGTGTCGTTCGTTGGCAGCGGTCGCAGGATTTGACGAAACGCTTCACGTCCGCTCCGACGCCTGGCCAGAAAAATTCTTCTAGAACCCGATCCATCGTTTTCTGCGTGCCTTGGTGTCCGGCCAGGATCCCGTCGTGCGCCATCTTTAGGACCGTGTCTCGGAACCTCCTCGGAACGACCAGTTGGTGTACTTCCCTTGCTGTGTTTGTTCTGTAAATCCGATATAGAACCCCCTCCTTCATGACGAACTCGCAAGAATGTCTCTTCTTCTTAACAGTCATTTTCTTCCCCTCGTTCAGGAAACAGCTCCGGAGGCTCTCGTCCTTACGTTGTTCTGCCCTCAGAGCTTCGGGAGTGACGGTTTCATTCTGGATTTCCGGGACCTTTAGTGGCTTAGATCCAGCCGTCTGGCTGCTCTTCTTTTGAAGCCTGGTTTCCACGGCGGCACTCATGGTAGGTTCGACTTCCTTGCCCTCTTCGCCTTCGGTGGTGATCCCGGTATCAGCTGCTTCAACATCCCAGTCGGGATTGGACTCTCCTGCTGCCAGAGCCCCGGGAATGTTGCCCAGAATGATGTCATATAATGGACTCTCCATGCAGAGTGCTGTTACTTCGCCGCTGAAGAAAGGAGTGCGCATTGACAGCCTGGCTTCGGGGAGCACCTTGACCGTGCCATCCACCAGGGAAACCGCTTTAGACGTTCCCGTGAGGTCCTCGTCTGCGATAAGGCTTCTCCGAACAACAACGGTGTTGCACCCGGTGTCGCGGAGGATAGTGACGATTCGCTTTCCCACTTTTCCGGTTCGTACTGGTACTCCGTCCGTCAAGTGCTTCGTTTCGGCCGCAATGGTCGAATTTACGATCGGGAGTCGCTCCCCATTCGTCAACTTCATGTAGCCGTTCTGAAGGAGCGCGTCGTTCATCTGGGCGCTCTCAGCAGCCACGCAGCAGGAAGCTTGAGATCGCCCCCGGGTTCCATCTTGGCATCCTCCCTGGCAGGAATTTGCGGTGTGGCCCGTCCGACCACATCTCCAGCAGGAGGGAGTCTTCGGGCCTTTCTCTCGGCAGTCAGCAGCCCGGTGTCCCATGCGGTTGCAGAGAAAGCATCTCAAGGGGGGCCGTCCTTCTCCCGCAGGTTTCTTGTTGCCATCTCGTGGAGCATCAGGGTTCGGTTTCTTCTCTTCCGACTTGAACCCAAGAGACTGGGCCCCTTGTGCTTCCAGAAACCGATCGGCCAAGTCGGCCATGTCGTCCAGAGTCTTTGATCCTCTCTCCTTGATGAAGATGGCAAGCTTCGGCGAGCACCCCTTTATGAATTGTTCGGTGAGTACTAGGTTCCGGAGAGTGTCGTACTCCTTCATCGTCTCGGCAAGTTCGACCCAACGGTCGAATAGGCTCGCCAGGCGCGCTGCAAACTGTGCTCCCGTTTCCCCGTTTTCCGGTTTGGCGTTCCGAAACTTTTCACGAAATCCCTCTGCAGTCAGACGGAACCGTCTCATCAATGCCTTCTTCACGCCCTCGTAGTCAACGGACTCTTCCGGTGTGAGTCTGGAAATTACCGACAGTGCCTCGCCCTTCAAACACAATGCCAGCATCGTAGCCCATTGGTCGCGAGGCCAGAGTTGTCCCAGGGCTAAACGCTCGAACCGAAGGAGATATGCGTCTAAGTCGTCTTTCTTCTCATCAAAGGCCGCCATCCAGCGTTGAGGACTCGTTAGCACGGCGCCGTGATTCGCCCCAGACCCATTCGTAGGGCTCGCATTTTCGACTTCCTTCAGCCGAATCTTCAACTCTATCATTTCTTTTGCCTTTGCTTGCCGCACGTCCTCTCGATCCATCTCATCTCTCACCCAGTTTCGCAGTTCCACCCCATCGTAGCCCAGCTCTCTCCCAAGCGCGGTTAATTCCACTCGCGACATGGTAGCACAAAAACTCTCACACTCAAAGCAAGAAACAAACGATTACTCAAATCGCCCGCCCTCGTTCTTCCTCGCGGCCTTCCTTCGCAGTGGGGTCGTCTCCCTAACCTTACACCATGCCACCGGTCCTGTCGCGGACGCCAGTTTGTCACGGAGTGGGTGGTTAAATTAATAAAAATAAAGCAATGATCCACTCTGAGGATAAACGAGAAATTACGGAAAAAGAACAAAAGAGCTAAGTTCGACCGGTGACTAGCGCTAGGTCCACGCCAGGTGTAAAATCAGGAAAGAGAGACGATGACACAGGGAGGATAAGCAAACAAAAGATTAAAAATTTAATAAAGTGAAATACTACGCCGCGGACGGCAAAAGAGCACTCTACACAAACCTCGCTCCAGTTAAACGCAATGGGGTCCCGCGGGCCAGAAACTAATACTAAAAAAGTCACGACACTCGTAAAACAGGATCGAGCCGACAAAACCGCGACGAAATCCCAACACTAACCAAAAACAAGGGCAAACCGAGACGGAACTCGAACGTTACCGCTACCCAAAAGGGACAATCCCCCAAAACAGTCGCGACAGAAAGTAGCGCTACGTATAAAAATGTCCCAAAGTTCAACAGTTCGTACTTCAGAGCCGGAGGATGAAGTAGACGAAACAAACAAAAAACAGCTTAGCTTTCCGGTAGGTGCTGAGTCCAGAGCAGTCCGTTGTCTGGAGATGTCGGCCGAAGAACGATGTCTCGGAGTCAGGCGGTCCGGTTAGAAGCTTGATGAGGTCGACACCGCGCACCACACAGCCACGCACGCTTCAGCACAACCAACTCAAACACTTGCCCGACAGGCAGGGCAGAAGCCGAAAAATTAAACGTTCAAAAACTCACGAGCAGGGAGTGACTGCGTCGAGCAGCACCCCGGCCAGCTCCGGGGCTCCACTACCTCCTTTGTTCCAGAACCCCTTTTTATAGGTTCGACTACCGACCAACCTCCCGTTTTCCCGCCTTTCGGGTCAGTCCACTTCCCAGAAAAGCAAAGGTATCCGGCGCCGACCCAAATGGGAAAACATACAGGCCATCCATTTCCCCCGTACGAGTCCAAAACATCAATTATCGCAGATACGTAGAACCCGACAACAACGACAGGCGCCAGACTGAAGAAAGTCGCCGCCTTCAAAAGGCGCGCCAGCCAGCTTAGACATCTTTGTATCCCGGCGTCGCCTTCGCGTGTCAAATCGGCACCAGAGTCCGCAAACGCACCCCTCCGTCCGCGAGGCCCAAGCCACAAATTAACTTTGCCCCGGGGTGAAGCCTAATCTGAGTCGCCCGTCCACAAATACCTACCCCGAAAACGAGCAAACCCGTTGGGGACGTAGAAAGGATAATACGACGGGACGAACTGGAGATTAAAAGCGGCACGGCACTCCCCGTTCCCGGACCGTACCGACACTTAAAGTGGTCCGAGAAAAAAAAAAAAAAAAGATAATAAAAATGAAAAACAAAATCAAGAAAAGCCTGAATTTGTGACATCCTCCCATCGCCTGAGATGACCTCGGAGTGCTCCAACTTTTATCGCTTTTTTAATAGGAAACTCGGCGGCGCATCGGTGTGATTTATGAATTTCTATATGATGCTTAGAGCCCGCAGAGTGAGTTATCGCCATTTTTAGGCGATATCAGAAACCTCCTGAGGGCACCTTTAAGGCCGGTTCTCACATGCAGCGAAGCGCTGACGTAGCGCTACTCATGTGTCGTCTGCTACTTATAATCTGCCATGAGCGCCAGTTATGACGGTGCGATGCAAAGCTGGCGAACGCTCCCGTCAGCACGCGCTTAGCCAGCTTAGCGCGAAGTTAGCGCTATGCTTGTAGCGCTGCGCTACATGTGTGAACAGACCTTTAACCTGTCACGGACAATAGGTCTTTATGGACGTTACGCAGTCGCTTGGCCTCGGAGATATCTTCCGCGATTGAACGGTACCGTCTCCGAGCATATCCGTGCAAGGAGTCCTTCACCGCAATCCAGCCAGGCGTGAAACGGCAGGTTAGCCGCCCTTTCCGCAACTTCTCCTCGCAGCGCTTCCAAGTTGGTCGACCGCAACGCTGAAACGAAAGAGCAAGCCGCAGGGGTGAGGTTACTCCTACTGCCACGGAAGTGAAAAAAAAAAAAGCGTATAATCCTCGCGGAGGTAGGTTCGCACGGCCATAGCATCGTGCAGTGAACGCAGAACCGTGGTGACTACAAAAAAGCGGGAAAATGGAGATCCAAGGATAATATTGCAAACGACTATGTCTAAAGGGAGAACAGACCTTTTGCTAAATTGCCCAAGCACCGAGCTGAGAGTGTAGTTACACGCGCTGCACGTGCTAATGTCTGCAAAAGTAGCTACGCAAAAACCTAAAACAAATGACATCTTGGACGCGCGTTCGTCAAAGCCTTATTTTGGTTAAACATTTGACTAAAACCCACGAGACCGGGACGAGAAGGAATGGACAAACAAAAAGTCTGAAACAGAAGGGACGGACAAAAACAAAGTTTTGAGACTTTGTGTTTCTCCGTCCTTTCTCGTCCCTGTCTCGGGGGTTTTAGTCAAATGTTTATCCACCACCAGCTCGTTTGCCCCCTATCCTTTTATTTTGGTTATTTACTTCGAACCTTTTATACGGGTAAGGCGAGCGCGCGCGGTGCCTGTACCGACATTCCCAGCATTCCCTTTGATACTTAGGTAATTTAGCGGTAGGTTTATTACGGGGAATGCAGTTTTGTTCAGTCAGCGTGTGCGTCTTCGCACATTTGTGTGTGTGTCCGCGCGTGCCACATGCTTTAATAAAAACTTATAAACGTAAGCGATATTTCCAGCTGAATGTATAGTTGCTGTTTAACTTTTCTTTTTCTTAAAGATTACCTAGAATTGGCGGAAACCAACCGTATACTTAGCTCTTACATTCCCCATCGAAAGCAGAAAACAGTCGACATGCAATACACAGGCACAAAGCGTCTCTTTGCCAACTGCAACTGTTTCCGTGGCGGCGGTCGTTACACCCTCCCCCGGTCTTTGACGATGGACCCTCTCGTCATTACGAGCAGTTGCGCGCAACTGTCCTCGAGCCGTCACTTTAAAGCCCCGTCAAGTTTCGCTAGGGGTGCCTCCATGTGGCAACCGCCGGCTGAAGCAACGCTCCGAGAATCCTAAAGGCGGGAGCAATTACGCGTGCACGCTCGGCATCCGCGTTCGCAACCTTGCGGGGGTCTGTGCAAACAACCCAGAAGCAACTAAGCGGCTACTCGTTTCCGTCACTCTTGGCAAGTCCGAAGACGGCTTCCTCTGAACAAGGTTTTTCTAAAAGAGAAGAGTACGACGTGGCGACAAGGACAGCAGCCGACTGCATGCCGGTTTGCGCTTTCTAAACAAAGCGTACTCAACAACAAAGCAGATGAAACAAAAGACGCGCGTACATTAGCTTAAAAGACCCGCTCACACACTTGCGTTTCGTTGAGGCCGAGTTTTTGTTCCCTCTTAACGACTCAGGATAGACACTGGCAAGCTGGCGCCATATATGAGGTGACCCTGGAACTGCATTTCACTAGAGCGAAGTTTTTTGGGATCAGGCCTGCTTCGTGAGTAAAGTTCCTCCCGTCCCTTTTACTTTCCCTTGCTTGTGTGCCGTACTGTCCAAGCCGAGAGGCCACCGACAAAGGCCCCGCGTTCTCTCTCTCTCTGCTGTCTCATACTGCTCTGTCAACATTTTGACTGACCCACTGACGGTTTTGCGGTGTTGGCGAAATGAAATCTACGTACCATCTACAAGAAATCGTAAAAAGTTATTTACAGAAAAATGATGGTCGAAAAAACAAGAAGAAGAAAGTATGCGGAAATGAAGTGTTCCACGACTGCCCGATAGATGGCGCCAGTTAGTTCTCTCGTCCTAAGAAGCTTTAAGCGGTTTTAAGGGAAACGGTTGTAAGCAGTCGCGAGTGCGTTAACCAGCCTGTAGACGCCAACTCGTCCAAGGACAATGGCTAAAGTACCGAGTCAATCGGTCTGCTAGAAGCAGTCGGCCACGCCGTGCTAGCATGTACTCTTTTTGCCTATCCTTGACACAACACCCCGTGGATATCGATCAGTCAGGTTGGTGACCTAGCAGACCTCCGCTCTCTGGGAATCTCGCCATAGATTACGTCGGGTTTGAAGATGTATCGCTATCAGGACGCGACAATCAGAAGACGACTCAAGTTTCGCAAGCACACGTATCTCGTCTCAAGGTCGCAGGAGTGCGTCAGCGGTTGCCCGGTATAGAGTCTATTCACATTACGTCAGACCGCCTTTTAATGTCGAGTCACTACACACAAGCATGGCCGCCGAAGGCCATAGCGGTTTGCCGATAGGCGAGTTTGCTTTGCCTTCTTATATTTTTCACCAAGCCCACGAATAAAAGTTCCGCTTTATCGCTCGGCGGCCATGTTTGTGGGTGATGACTCAGCAAGTGAACAGACCCTATACTACGAGTGTGCACATCATGCGAAACGCCAGTTCGTCCGCTTCTTGCGCAGGTGTGGTGGTGACGTCAGAGCGCCGAGCTCCGATTGGCTCCGATTGGAAGCCCACCGACCGTCCTTCCAATCGGAGCCAATCAGAGCTCGGCGTTCTGCCGTCGCCGCAACCCGTGCGCAAGAATCAGACGAACTAGGGCTCCTATCTCGCAAGCGTTTATACTTCGTTTCACTTCAAAGTCCGACCAGAACCGGTGTCGCGGTCGAGTGGAGACAGTCATTGCCGTGGTAGTCATCGTCGTCTTTGGACGTTTGCCGTCATCGATAAAAGCGATCGCCCACACCGAACGCCCCGTGATCGTGCATTTTTTTTCCGTGCGCCATCGATTTATCCGGCGATATCCAACGCGCAAAGGCGATGACGCGTTTGGCGTTTTTGAGGAGTTTTCGCAGACCGCTTTTCCACCTCATTGAAGCCCTCCGCAGAAAGAAGCCGCTGCTGCGCCTGCGCAC